CATCGCCTTTGAATGCATTCCAACTCTTCGACACTTCACTCCAATTGCAGTGCATTTCCTTCTGAACCACAGTTGGTGTCGATTCCACTTCCCGTCTCATGAGCTCCACTATGGCATCGCCTTCACTACACATCCGGTTCAGTGTCCACTCATCTGTTGTGTCATCGAAGGTAAAGTCACCACAAGACATACCGTACATACAGTCACTCAATATAATACATACTTAGTTGATGTCTTCCTTGAACTCTAATCCTCTCCTCAACTGAACTCAACTCGTCTTTGAGGTCTTCGAAGCGTTTCGATGAACTCATCGCTCCTTTCCTTTCGGATCAATCTCTTCAGTGACCGTCGACTCTATTCATTCAATATATCACTTGTGTATCACTATATGATTGTATACTATACTATAGTTATAGTATCATATCATATGACACATATAGTTATGTAAGCTATGATATACTCTATTTTACATATGATTACAAATTGTAATTCAATTGACTGACAGTACTGGCAGTCATTTATAATAGTATAACAGTAATCAATATTCAATACGAATAGCAATACATTCACTAATTTGACACTCAATACAAACAATACAAACAATACTCAATCACTCATTAATGGCATCAATCTATGAAACTGTATTCACAAGTCAGTCAGAGTCAGACTATTAGTGTGACTGTAAAATATACATTAATCACTCATTACTATTATAATCACTATGTCCAAGGTAACTGTATTATCATATATAGTATATATGATATATATAATATAATATATATTATAATATATTATATACAATATTACAGTATATCTAAGTCAATATTTTATATTCACTGTCAATTAAAACTTACTTTTAGAAATAGTTGTATACAGTGGTATTCAATAGACTAGTCATTACACCAGTAATACATGTACAGTAGTTAAGTAAATGACTGTCAAATTGACAGGCAATCAATGTGTTTAGTGGTGTGGCAGTGGGTGTATGGGTGGTCACGTGTGTCAGTATTTACAGTTTTAATATCATATGATATGTCATTGTTGTTGTGTAGCGTACAGTATGTTTATGAATGACAGTACACTGTATTATAATAACTGCATCAAATTGACAGCTGTTTGAGCCATTGATGACCCGGTGCTCAACATGACGAACAACTCTAACTGGTATTCATTGACACTATCAATGCTTTCATATGCTTATCAACACATCTGACCACTTATAGGATCAGCAATGATGTGGATGAAGACTACTGGACCCAAACCAAGGCTTATCGCTTTGATTTCGATGACCAAACTCTTGTAGTATGTGTTGATGTGATTGTCACTCAATGTGTATT